CCTTCATCTCCTCTCCTTGGCGCTTTCTATATTTTATTTTATTTTGGTTGTGCACATTATTTGAAGTTACTATAGCAACGTGTCACCAGCTGGTATCACATAGTAATGTTAGCATTTAGGTAGCAAGCTCCTGAAGTTGGCTGTTCCCCTCCCTCTGGGATCTCATCACTCCCACTAATGTTAGGTGAGTGGGGGATGCATCTCCATGCCCCTCTCCCCTATTTTGCTTGTTCTCCAAGGCAAGGCAAACTGATAACCTCTTCCTCAGTTTACTCAGCACTGCAGGGGTCCTGGCTCTGGGGATGCATCTCCATGCCCCTCTCCCCTATTTTGCTTGTTCTCCAAGGCAAGGCAAACTGATCACCTCTTCCTCAGTTTACTCAGCACTGCAGGGGTCCTGGCTCTGTGTGTGTGTGTGTGTGTAGGTGTGTTTGCATTAGAGGTTGTTAGATATGTTTAAGTTGAATGTTGTGCACCAAAACTATTGTCATTATCAATATGATGATGGTGATGATGATTTTTTTTTAGTGCAAAGGAGTGAAATGATTTGGTGAGGGCTACTCCTGAATGCATTCACTTACTATCCCAGCTAATTAATTCTGATCACACAATATTGGGTCTCTCTTTTCTCTCTTGCCATCACACAGGGAAGAGACCCTGACTGTTTTCCTTTCGAGCTTCAGTTCTCTCCCAGGTGTGCAAGACCTACTTACTGATGGGCTGAATTAATTAAGAGGATTGATTGTCTCGGATTGCTGAAGAGGGTTCTATATGGCAAATAAGCCCTGCCACTCAAGGCGTTAAGTAGCCCCTCATCAGCCAAGTGCCTGTGATGATTGTACTTATTTTTACACGTTTGACCTAGTTTCAAACCGTGTCTCTTCATGCTGTGATTCATTAGCCACATTTTAAACCACCCCAATCAGAGTGAGGTGACTCTGACTGGTTTGTACCAGAGTCTCAGATACAATTTCTCTCCAGAATGTAATATGCAAGTCTCCGTGGTATTCTGTTTTTAAGAAGCAATTTCCCATCCAGGCACCCGGCATGCTGCTTGGGTATGGATGAGTGGCTGCTTCATGCCTTGGTAGTAAATATATGTCGATTACACAATTTCTGCCAGAGATGGGAAGAGGGGATTCTCGCTAGCCTGGACTGCAGGGGATCCCTCACCCCTCTGTTTCAGGCTTCTCCAGGCTGCTGATAGGGCTGGGAATTTGAGCTTCTACACTGTAAAGTTTGGGCAACATCAGTGTTACAGCTCTCTTAGTTGCTAGGGCAAAATGCAGTCTGATCATTCCCCCCCCACCCCACACACACACAATTCCTGTATCTCCTAAAAATTTAAGACATGGTGGATGTAGAGGTAAGGTCTCAAACTTGTAAAAGGGGAGGGGGCAAGACACAATTGCCATTTCGAAGGTACTACTGAAAAAAGGATACACGTCAGAAAAACGTAATGTTATTCCATCTTTCTATCATTTTGTGACAAAGTGGTTTTTTTCTTTTCTTTTTTTAATTTAAATGACAGAGAGGAGCCTTTCCTGGATATGAATCTGCCACTGGTGTCTCGCTCCATTTCAGGTATCAATCAGTCACATCACTGTGATTTTCGACAGATCCGATACCAAAATGGGCTAGGCACCATAGTAGAAAAAAAGGATGCTTCCAGTTGGAAGTAAAACACTGTCATTTTTCATCAACAGCCAAATGCAGATAACTTGTCCAAACTTCAGTCACATTGCACTACAAATCGTACTGAAAGGCACCCAGCTGGGGTTTTCTACGTGATACTTAGGATGAAGAAATTAACAAGCTGGTAAAAGTAATTTTGATTGATTGGTGAACTATAACAAACTGACCAACTCCTAATATAAAGATAGTGGTTTCTTACATAAAACAGTCACTCTCCCTAGATGGGGACTAGAATCCCACTCCCTTTTTCTTTTCTTTTAAAATGAAGAATGGAAGTTTCTCTAAACAAGGCTTAAGATAATGCAGCCTTTTCAAGGCAGTTTTAGGCAACTTGAGATCCGAGTTTTGGTTTTTGCTTTTTTTCCCCCTTCAAATTCAAATCAAGTCATTGGAAATAACAAGCATTCCATCTCTATGCATTTGGGGCAGCCTGCGGTTCCGACAATGGTGGCTTTTCCCCCAACACACTTACAAGCTCACGATCTCAGTACTCATTTAAACCAAAGCTTTTAAAGTCAACTATCATCCAAGAGATGATAGCATTTTCTCTTAGAGGATCATCGATCATAAAAAATAAAATCTACCCACATTTCTTACCTTGAAGCAGTGGAATTACCTGCAGAGGATGTCTCCCCTTCCTTGCACAGTGAGCCAGGCTTTGACCAGCAGCAGAATTACTCCAAAAAAAGCAGTAATAAGTCCTTTATATTGTAATTTTCACTGTTTATATGCAAGAAGTGTGGTGGGTCTGCTCACGTAGGAATAAATAAAAAGCCGAACAAACTGCACGGCAGCTACCATGTGAAAAGAAAAGACCTCTAGTGGCCACAGGCTGAATTCTTTAAGGAAGGGAGAGAGAAAGAGGGAGTAGAGGAAACACACACTCCTGTGCACGTGCACACACGCACAAACCCACATACACACACCCCTTAAACTCTCAAACTCTAAGATTTCTCCTTTCTTGCATTTGGACTGGCCAGAGGTATGAACAAAAGTAAAGCTCATTCTTGATTTAACTGGGGCTTGGTTGTGTTAGCAGTGCTGGTGGTGTTCTGTCTGGTTTGAAAGGGATAATTTCTCAAACTCACCACCACCCCCTGGGGGCCTGAGCAGGAGACAGAATTTTACTTTCTGAATCTTCCAGGAAGTGCGACCCGGTGTAGAGGCTACAGGTTCCCCATCCACAGAGTGTCCTTGTCCGTTGCTCCTGAGTGCCCCAGCTTTGCACTCTCTGCCGGATGTGCATGTTTTGTGAACATTTATGGTGTATGAGTGTGGTGGTCACTAGTAGGCAGGCCAGCTTCCTGGGCATGTGACCTGCGTAGTTATACAGGGCCCTATGCTTAGAAGGGCCCGTGGCTATTTTGAAATTCTGAATATAATTTTAAGCAAAGGTCCTGCGTTTTTGTTTTGTTCCAGGCTCCTCAAATTGCCCAGTCGGTCCTGCAGACAGGCAAATCACACTATCCCTGACTTCCTAATTGAAAAGAACCTGGAAGCAAATGAGCATTTATATCTACTCTTGGGAATGTGAACTTGAGGAACATCCAGTTTCCCAAAAGGCTTCCTGTGGAGGAATTTAGGAGGGGCTTCCTGGGGTCATCAAGGCTGTTTCTCTACCACTGCGACTGCTTGTAAACCTGGGAGGAGATATACATACATACACACACACACACACACACACATATATATATATATATACACATATATATATATATATATATATGTATATATATATATATACATATATAGCATATATAATATTGGTTGTCTTTTTAACCAAAGAGCTTTTTAAAAAAAAATAAAGGCAGCAGTTTTTGATACCAAACCCTTTTTTGTTTGTTTTTGGTTCAGACATAATACTTGCAGGCCCACCTCTCTGGTGTGTGTCATATTCTACCCTCATTAGCAGTGGGGGTCTCTGTGTCACCCCAGCCAAGCCATCTTCCACGAGCCTGTCCTGGATCAGACACAGGGGCACTTTCTTTGGCTCAGGTGGCAGCCCCAGTGGAATCTTGCAAGAGACAATCGAGAAGGGCTTCTCACCCCTGGTGGATTCATGGCCAGTGCTTCCTTTATCAGGTTTCAGAATAGATCTCCCTACATGCTGCTTCCAGATGCTAGCAGAAACAGAAAATGCACCCTGATACAGACTCATAAAATACGGGAGGGAAACAGCAGAAAAGGCTCTGCTGGGCCGGCCCGGTGGCGCACTGCTACAGTGCGCTGCTTGGGAGTGCAGCGGCGCTCCCGCCGAGGGTTCGGATCCCACATACAGACCGGTTCCCGCTCACTGGCTGAGCGAGGTGCGGACGCAGCACCGAGGGTTGTGATCCATTGCCGGACACGAAAAAAGACAAAAAGGGAAAAAAAAAAAAGAAGAAAAGGCTCTGCTGATGTCTTCTGGTGCATGAAAGGGCGTGGTTCTTGCTGCTCCCTGGGATCCTTCTACATCTACCTCCTGTCCCAGTCCCCACCTTGATTTCCCTCTTGTCTGAATCCTTCTGGTACATGGTTTGCTTCACAGATCAAGGATCATGTACTTTTTCCCTCATGGATGTTAATCTTGCTTTCCCAACTAGATCATAAACTCACAAGTGGGCCGGCCCGTGGCTCACTCGGGAGAGTACGGTGCTGATAATAAACTCACAAGAGCAAGGGCTGTCTCCTCATTTCTTTTATCCTCCACAGCCCTCTAGGTATGCCGGCCGGTAGGTCCTGGGTTCTCTCTCTGGCTGATTTATGGTGATCCAACAACTGCGGAGATCACTCTGCGGAGAACGTTAATGCATTTCAAGGTGCTATAGGAGCCATCTGATCCTTTTGATACTCCTGTGGGGTAGATATGAATGGATTATTGTCCCACTTTACAGATGAAACAACTGGATCTTACACACGTAAAATTATTAATCAGAAAACGAAACTGTCTCCAGGATCTTGATATAGGCTGGATCTCCCAACACCAAGGCAGTGCTCTTTTCCTAGGGTACAAGCAGCAGTAGAGGTGATGGATCAGGTCTTTTTATAACTGGAACTCTTATTACAGTTCCAGGCACATAAGAGGTATTCAATAAGTGCTTTTTTGATGCATAAGCCATAAGGAGACATCTCATAGGAAATCTTGTATGCTGATCTGGTAAGGAGAGATTCTCCATCTTCAAAGGGACTTTTTAATACTTGCGTGGGATGGTTGGGTGTTTTCTAGTTTGAAATCAAGGAAATGGAGAAGATGAATCTTGTGGCCCTCGTGCCCACTAGTTCATGGTATTTTTCTTTATTTCTTGCAGAGTCACTTTGTGGCATGTATGACAGCCATACTAGACCAGATGGGCGATCAGCACTATTCCTTTTACATTGAAACCTTCCAGACCAGCTCTGAACTTGTGGTGAGTCTGTAGGATGCTGGGGGGTGATGGGGGGCAGCATATCATACTCTTGGTTCTCATGAGGGTAGGGCAAGAAGGTCTCCCCACAGATCTTGAGTATGTGTGTGTTTGTGTGCAAGTTATCAACGTGCATGTGTGATCTTTTATTTCTTGTATACCTCCCCACTGGAATATGTCTTCAGTTCATGTCAGCGATGAGACCTGAATATCTACTACATAATCTAGATATGGCTTAACGAATATTTGTTGATGAATCATGGACATTTGGGGGCTTAAGAACATGAGTGTTGGAGTCACACAGTCTTGAGTTTGAATCCAGGATGTTTCACTGGCTAGCTGTGTGACCATGGGTAAGATAACCTCTCTTAAGCCTCGGTTCTCTCATCTGCAAAGTGGGGATAATATCATGTATGTCACAGGGTTAGGAAGGAGTTACATGAGAGCACAGTAACTCTCACAGAGTAAGCACCCACTGAAAGGTATCATTATACTATAAAAACAAATGTGTGGAGGACATTAGCCCCTGAGCCCTCTTCTTCTTCTAGCCCATCAGGACTCATTTGGTATATAGCACAGTCAGCCTGTGGCCTGTGGCTCACACCTCTGCAGCAGATGATTTTGTCATCATAGAGCACGGCTGGGGCTGTCCCCTCCTTGGATGTAGCTGAGCACCCTTTGCCTTCAGCATGGTGGCCTGTGTCGCTGTCTCCTTACTTCTGCCAGATTCAGGTATCCTGCTGCTGGGAGCTCATTCTCAACTCTCCTTGGAGAGACCGAGGGTACCAGAATTGGACAGCCTCAGAGAGTGGCCCCTAAAAGGACAATCATTAAGAAGTCATGCTCTCCCCCTTCAACCATTCAGCGGTGAGACATCCTCCTCACTGGAGTAGGATTGGCAAGATGTGAAACCTTTTTCTGGATATGCAAAAAAGTAAGATAAAAGGAAGGCTAAATAACCCAGGTTCCCCACCCCTCAAGTCCTCTAGTCTTGGAACATGGAAATAGAAAAACTGGATTCCTAAGTTTTGATCTTCAGTGGAAGGAAAGGTTTCTGGGAAAAAAGGTAGGAAAGATAATTCTTACTTACTGAAGATACACATTTTGTTATATAACCCTCACAACAGTATGGCGTAGGTGTTCGGAGTCACATTTTACAAGTCAACAATCTGCTTGCTCAAGGGCCCATCACTAGTACGCAGCAGAGGTAGGATTTAAACTTGGCTCTAACTCTTACATTACACTACATCTTCTCACTCGGAAGCTGCGTTTTCCATCTATGAGCCAGAAACCTTCTCTCTCTATTCCCACGGGAAGATGTGCCTGTGATAATATCCACAGCTCCCCAGGTGTGAGTGGTAGTATTATTTATTCATTATTATTCAAGAATGAATAATAATACTCACCATTGCCATCATCAAGCATTTAGTGAGTATTTGCAAGGGGCCAGGCTCTGTGGTAAGCATCACAGTGTACACTTAATCCTCACAAGTAACCCGTTGAGGTAGATATTGCCCCATTCTGCTGATGTGGAAACTGGAACTTAGAGCACTGAGGTGATTTTTCTTAGAAACAAAGATTAGTAGAAAGGAATCGGTGTCATTTCCAGAATTTTGCTATTTAGCTTAAAATAGTCATTTTCAAATTAGGTTCCTCCTAGCCTCACTATCCGCTAACACACACACACACACACACACACACACACAGATTTTCCTTGAACAAAGAATTCTGCTGTTAAAATAGTTTGAAAACAACTGGCTTCAGGAAAGAACTCTGAACAGGATTCTGGTGGATTTTAAATTTTACCTAAAGCATTCAGGTGGTATTTCATTACCTCCAGCTCAAGAGGGTCCCAGTGCCAGTGGTTCTGGTCTCTAGTATCTGAATTTGTCTTTAATTTGTGTGTTCCAAAGATGGAGAACAAGTTTGCCCACTGTAAAATCTGGTGAAGTGTGTTGAAGTCCACTTTGAGCCTCTTCAAAGGAGAGGAAAAGAGTCCCTGTCATTCTGCTTCCTCTGAAATCTGCTCATGTGTGTGTGCATGATGTATGAATTCGCTATGCTTACAGCACTGCTAATTAGATGTTCATTTTAATAATAGTTTGTTTGCTCAATGACCCGAGATGCTTTCATACAATGTAGATTATCTCCTTCTCAAATACATATTTGGGAAGATGATTATAAAATTGTCACATCAATGAATACATTTACTGCTCTATCCTCAATGAATACTCCTTCATTTTGAGAGTGTTCTTGCATTCCATATTTGTGCTCCACCGATATTTGTAAAACAGTTTCCCTGTAGCCATTTTTACACTTCCATTCAATACCTGCTGCTATTAACTTAATGAAGGGTGTTGTCCCTTTCTTTTCTGTCTCTTCAAAAATAAAAAAAAAAAAAAAGTTAAAGAGCCAAGGCATCTGGGCACTTTCAGTCAGTTCCTATAAAAGACGATGACAGGCATGTTTCGCTTTACTATTTCAGGACTTCTTGATGGAGACCTTCATCATGTTCAAGGACCTCATTGGGAAGAATGTGTACCCTGTAGACTGGATGGCCATGAGTATGGTTCAGAACAGGTGAGCTGCTGCCACTTCCAAAAAGCCATCTCACCCACTGTTCACTTTCCACATCACTGGTAGAGATGAGGTGGGGTTAGTTTCTCCCCGGTGAAAAGAAATCAAAGAAATCAAACACATTCTTTCTTTCCACATTTAAATTGAAGGAAGAACTCCTCACCAATCTTGAAGCTATTCAAAAAGTCCTCCCCACCTTCTCCATTCTTTAAATCCCAAATAGAATATATATATCTTGTCTTTGAAGATTTCCTTAAATTCTAAAGACAGGAGGGCTTGGGAAAGCATTTTTAAAAATTATATTATTTTAAAATCTATTAAAAATAATAAAATATATTCTGGGACATAATGATAAAATAAGTTTAGGAAACATTGGATGAAACAGCTTTGAACAGGTTTCTGTGCTGGACTTCTCAGAACTTTTAATATATTAACGTGATTTTCTAAGAGGACTTATGATAGCATTTCACAGATTTATTGGCCTGTGGAACCATTTGGTGCATCTGTGTGTGTGTTTATATGTATAATGCCTATTAACATCTCATAGAGTATCAGCATAACCCAAGTATAAGTCAGATCCCACACAGCTCAGTACAACATGAGAAAAAAGTAACTCTAAACAACTTCAGTATTTATAGCTATATCTCTCTTATCATTTCACCAAAGTGAAATCCAAATGATAACACTCAGCAATATTTTCTAATATACCCTTTCTCCATTTCCTCTGGCTTTTTTTTTTTTGTCTTTTTCCGTGTTCGGCAACGGATCGCAACCCTCAGTGTTGCCCCCGTACCGGACCGGGGACCGGCAACGGGATCTCAACCCTCGGCGTTGCTCCCGCGCCTCGCTCAGCCAGTGAGCGGGAACCGGTCTGTATGTGAGATCCGAACCCTTGGG